GAGGGCTGGGTGGCCGCGCACACGCATTTGCCACCACGTGTGCGAGTGCGTGCGCACGACGACGCTGTTGTGCGTGTGCATGCATGATGTGGCCACCATTTTGGAAGCCCCCACATGTGGGGGGCTTCCCTGGGCCTTAAAAAGGCCCCCACCGCGGCCAAATTCACACGCCATGGCTGCTGTGGGCGAATTCACCCACTATGGGCACAGGGGGGCTTCCCTGGGCCTTGGAAAGGGCCCGCTATGGCTGCTGTGGGTGAATTCACCCACCGTGGGTGCAGGGGGTCTTCCCTGAGCCTTGGAAAGGCCCCCCCATGCCCGCGGCGGGTGAATTCGCTCGCAGCGGCCACGGCGAAGGCTTCTCTGGACCTTAGAAAGGCCCCTCTATGCCCGCGGCAGGCGAATTCGCCCGCAGCGGCTGCAGTGGGGGCTTCCCTGGGCCTTGGAGTACTGCGCATGCACAAACGTGTCATGGCCGCATGCGCGGCAGCGGCGTACGGTCAGCGGGGTTCCACGGGCCGGGTGCGGCCCACGGGCCGTAGGTTGCCAACCCCTGATTTAAACATTAAATTTGGGATGCCAGATTAAAAGGGGTAATGAGCGATTGCTAAGATCAGAGCACCAACCTAAAATATATTGCAAATCGGTTCTTGAAGCCTCGCTCACATAGAAGACAACTAAAAAGGAGACGGGGGATGGGGGGAAGCACAATGTAAGGGACTGCCCCCTACCCCTCCACAAGGACAAAGTGGGAGGACTTTCATTACTTTTAATAATTACACAGCTCATCAAAGGAGCCTTTCTTAATTTTTTCGTATATTTTCTAATGACAAATTATGACTGCCCTAACTGTCCCTTTCCTTGAGAAACATGGAAGCCCTGACATCTTTTGCAGGGGCCTGAGTTTTTGGGCAGGAGACCCAATGTGATGCAGTAGTTTGGGATCTGGACTAGGACTGTGGAAGACAGGGTTTGAATCCCTGCGCAGCCATGGAAACCCACTTAGTGATCCTGGGCAAGTCACACTCTCTCAGCCTCAGAGAAAAGCAATGGAAAACCTTCTCTGAATAAATCTTGCTAAGAATACCTCACAAGAAGGTTGCCATAAATTGCAGTTAATGTGAGGGCACACAACAACATCAGCAAACATCTTTGGGCAGGGAAGTACAATAACATCCTAAATCTACAAAACAGTGATACCGTTATTGGACCAACCAAAGTGCACAATATATATGTTGCAAGCTTTTTTTAATTACAAACTTTATTAAAACATCAGACATATATCAGACATATAAAGAC